TAAGAAATCACATAATTTTAGATTTTAGAATCAGAAAAAGATGGTCAGAGCTGGAAGAGAGAAGAATAGAGATCAAGTTCTTACATCTCTCATTCCACAACTATTCAGGCAGGGGGCATCAGACACTGAGACTAAGAAAAGGGCCAGGGTTTACTCTGCCTATATTTATCACCGGCTGCTTCTGCCACAGCCCAAAATGTACTCCAGTAGTGGTGAAGTCAGAAATCAAAACCCATTCCTGCTTTCAAACCCAGATCATCAGATTAAAGACTCAAAGAAGGAAAGCCAGGAATTCTGCATGAGGCCAGGGGATACGGAGGCAGAAGAAACACTTACTGAGTACCTAGCAGGTGGCAGGGACTTGAATATATCACATGATTTTCCTCTCCCTGTAACCCTGCAAAGTGAGTATTATTATTACTTTTCTTTCGTGAATGGAGAAATAGGCTCAAACAGGTGAGATCACACCTGGTAAGCATGGTGACGGTGTCCATTACTCTATTTCCTGGATATCACGGAGAATGGGAATCAGACAACAAGGCCTGGTAATGCTTAGCTGGTGCTCTGCCAGGGAGAAAAAATAAATTGATAAACACATATTCACAGGTAGGAGGGAGGTGGTCACTGTTGTAGGCCTGAGTACATGTTTCTCAGGATTCCTGGCTTCTTCTAGTCTTCTCTGATCTTATACTCATCCAGAATCTTCTGGATAATTAATTTGACCTCATGTATCCTGAGGTTGGGAAGGCAATACTATGAATGACAAATATTAAAAAAGTAAAAGAAGGCCTCCCTGGTGGTGTAGGGGTGAAGTCTCAGCACTATCAAGCTACCGCCAGCCACTGCGATATGAGTTCAATCCCCGGCCAGTGCAGCAGACCTCTCTTGTCTCGCCCGCTGCTGCCCTTAGCAGTGTGTTTCAGTCAATATGCCTGTTCTGCTCCCCACTCTGTCTCTGGTGAATCCTCTTATGCCCCCACCCCCTGCACCTCTGGCCTATACCCCAGTTCTTGTGTGCATAAATAAGTAAAACAAATCTTATAAAAAAAAGAAAAGAAAAGAAAAAGAAATCATGGAATAGTACGCAATGATCAAAAATGATAAACTCATACTATTTGCAGCAACATTGATGGAGCTAGAAGGCATTATGCTAAGCAAAATAAGCCAGAAGGAGAAAGGGAAATATTGAGTGGTGTCACTTATACGTGGAATATAGAGGAACCAAAAAAAGGGTTAGACAAAGACAAACTTCAACCAACCATTGAAAGCTGACCATAGACCTGAGATATCCAGAGTAGGAGGGGGAGAGAGGGGCGAGACCAGGGTGGAAAGAGAGCACAGTGGACTAAGTCAGAGGATTATGGGTGCTTTGGTGGTAGGTACCCTGCAGTGACTGCACCTGAATGGGGAGATCCTCCTTGTACTTCCAAAATATAAAATGATGTATATAATGGTACTTCAATGAAAAACAAAGCCAAAAAATTCATGGGAACTGTACACCCCTTCCTATGATAAGCAGTTGGCATTTTGACAATCTAACCTCTTGATTGTGCTGGCCCCACCAGGGCTCTTTGCCTACAACCTACTAGCACAGTCAATGGCCTCTTGCTCTTAACAGCTCTACCACCACCTCTAACATAAATACAGGTCCTGTTCACATTCACATAGGCCTTGGCAATGTTTTAACCAATAGTCACAAGAGTTACAGCTTACAACACACACCCATCTACATTATTTCCTTTAACTTCGTGGTGACTCAGGGAGGTTAAGTATTACTATGCTATGCAGTTAAAAGATGAGGCGCCTGAACCCAGCAGAGTTATGTAACTTGTCCAAAGTGACATAACTTGTAATGGCTGAGCCAGGATTCAAACCCAGATATGTCTGAATCAAAGTCTATTTTCTTTGCATAGCAACACACTTTTTTCATGAGTCTCTCTCCAATTCCCATAGCAGTGGTTAGAAAAGTGGGAAGGTCCTTGGTCTCTTTATGAAGGTGAGGGTGCTCACCTCGGGGAGGCTGGAAGACTCGCTGAAGGGCACTGTCTGGGATGATGTTGATGCTGTCATCAGAATCCAGGTCTCCTGACTCCCAGTCTAGAGGACACTTTCTCCCAGACCATATTGCCATTCCCATCAGACCATGTAATTTCTTTTTCTGATTGGGATATGGAGCCAGCAGCCAACAAAGATCACAATCTGTCTGCCTGAAGTCTCTCTCTGTTATGAGATGAGGGTTTAAAAAATGCATTTTAAGCAGGAAACCAGGTTAAATTCCCCTTGTGTGTGTGTTGAATTGGCTTGAGCTCCCTTGGTGCAGCTCCAGATTCTTCCACTTGACCGCTGGCTGACAGAGCAAGGTGGGGTGGCTCCAATAGTAACAAGGCCTGCTCGACTCATGTGCACCCTCCTATTCCCCCTTAACTCCTTCCAGTCACTGGCTACTGCTCCCACTGACATCCCCATCCAAGCACTTGCCACATCTTTTTAGTTCATGTCCTTAATATTTCATGGCACACAGTGCTAACTGGCACTACCCAGTTGAGGTCTGAATCATCTCCACCTGAATTGTCCCAACAGCCTCCTCTAGACAGTCTTGCCCCCTCCAATCTACCCTTCCCCATATAACTTGGGTGACTTTCCACCTCATTTAAAAACTTTCTATTGCTCTCCATTGTCTTCATTTTCAAGTTCAAATTCCTTAATGTCTCATCTCTTGTAGCTAAAGTTCTACAGCCATCTGGATTACTTACAGTCCCTGTAGCAACCCTCTTCCCCATTCAGTCTGCGATATCCTTCCTCCAGCAATCGACCCCAAGCCAAACTGGACATTTCTACTCCATTATAAAATTCAGCTTAGACGTCATTCCACTAGAAGTCTTGTCTGACCTCCTAAAATTGTATTTAAGTTCCCTCCCTTCTACCCCAAAGTATAGACATTTTTGTCTTTACATAGTTCTGTTCCAGCCCCTGTACCTAGAACTTTACCTGGCTTATACCAGACACTCCACAGGCACTTGCAAGTTTCCTATGGCCATCTGGAATTCTTCCACCACAAAACCATACATATTATAATTTTCTACATCTTCTTCTGTCTCCCCAACTAGACTGAAAGTTCTATAAGTCAGGGACCATAAGTTAGGTGCCTTGTGTCATCCCAGCATAGACTGATGGTGTCTTGTGATGAATGAGGATTGGGTATTGAGGGGAAGAAAACTTGAGCATGGGCTGAGGGAGGGGCATTTACTAAGAAACACATTTACTTTACAAAATCATGTCAGAGGCACTCTAGAGAACCCACTAAATTTGACATCAGAAACTAATCACAAACTGAGTGCAGGTCTCCTCCCTCTCACTGTGAAATAAGAGCTGCAGAGCCCCCTTGGGAGCACAAGCTCAAACTCTCCTTCCAGGAAACATTCTATCTTTGGGGCCACAATTTTCTCTCATGGGAGAGCAAAGCAGGTGCAGTGTGGAATGAAACTGAAGTGTGTATTACAGGATTTAGTGGATCCTGGGGAAGCCAGGGGATACACATCACCGTGTGTGTGTGTGTGTGTGTGTGTGTGCATGTGTATGTGTGTGTGTGTGTGTGTGTAGAGGCATCAGTGTGGCACAGAGATGGTCAGGACTTTGAAAATCAAGGGTCCTCTCTCTCTGTGTCTCAAAATTAAGTCTACTTCCTTAATTTTGCTGAGCACATAGTTATTAAAGTCAGGTCATGGTGACTATCAGTCTTGGTGACTATAGGGAGGGGACACTCGATTCTCATCACAATGTCTGTGTTCTGCTGGATCTGGAACGTTGCGTGAACACCTGGCCTACCAACTGCTCACCCCTCCTTCGGGGAATCCCTCTACCTCTTATGTCCACAGGTAGGTAATTGGAACCCCCAGTGTCACCTGGCTGAAACTGACAGGGTGGACTAGTTCTAAGTCATGCTACAAGCCAAAAGGACACTTTCCTGCACAGAGCATGGTAGGAACTCCATAACATTCACCACAGGTTGAATAAAACCTAAAAAAATGTAAAGCTTACTTCTAGGAGAGAGAATTTGCACATATACTGAATAACTTTCATCCTGCTCCTTTCTCCTCTGTCAATGATCATTATTTCTTCTAGAAAACTATTGGGATAGGAGAAACAGATCAATCCAAAAACAAGAGGAGAAAGGAAAGCAGAACCTGTCACAATCTGCCACAACTCTGATTCAGTGACCTGGAAACCAACACTTAGGAAACCAGTATTATGACATAATTTCTAAAAAAAAAAAAAAAATCAAATAAATCAGCAAGTCACTTTGAATTTCATCATGACAAGCTTAGGTGTTTTCAGAGAAAGCTTATGAGGAAGTTAAGAAAAAAGCAATTTGGCAAAGGAGAGAAAGAAGAGAGAGAAAGCAGAGGAAGGAGGATGGAGGAAGAGAGAGGACAGAAAAGAGGGGAGGAAGGGACAGGAAGAGGGAGGGAAGGAAAAACACAGGCCAGGCGAGGAAGAGGAGATAGAGCAAGATAGGGAATGGGAGAAAAATTAAGCAGAGGAAAAGCAGCAAGTGAGAAGATAGAAAGTGGAAGAACAAGAGCATAAGAAGACAGCAGATGAGAGAGGAAGCGCAGTTCTATACGTTCAGGAATAGAAGGCAGGCCAAGAGCATCAAGTCTTCCTCAAGAGCCCCAGGCCTGACCATCTAGCCTGCAGACTCACCACCTTGATGGCCTGCAGGAAAACAGCATGAGGCAGGGGGAGGTGGGGAGACTTGTGGCACTGGAGGGGCTGATGGGAGAAGAGGCTCATTAGAAGGCCAAGGGGCAAACAGGGCAATCCAAAGAGGCCAGCAGCAGAACAGCTCGTGCTCACCCCAGAGCCTCAGTCCTCACCTCAGCTGGAGACCTAATTCCTGACCTGTCTGGTAAATCCTGCCAGACCTGGATTCTCTCAGCTGGAAGGGAACTGGCCTGAGCTGGGGGGATGGCAAGTGGAAGAGACACTGCCAAGGATACAGGCTTCCTCGGTGTAGGGCACAGCAGCTGTGGTGCCCCCGATGATGTAGCTGTAGAAGGAGACTTCTAGAGTGTAGCAGTAGGAAGTGTGGTCCAGCAGCCCTCCAAGGAAACGACGGCCGGTTCCCGCTTTCACAGCATCCCGGTTAAAGGAGGTGCTAGACTGAGGGAGACAAAGCAGGGAGGAGAGATTCAGGCCTGCAGCTACTGGATCTTGATTGAATCTTACGTTATATCTGGATCTCAGTTTCCTCATCAGGAATGGGGTTATTAATCACAGGATTATTATGAGGACTGATTGAAATCACAAATGGAAACATCTAGTAGAATTCTTGAGGACCCAACAACTTCCATCTAACAAAGATTTGTGGAAATTTGAACGGAGACCAATGGAGCAAAGACAAGTAGACAGAGAACAAGGAACAAATGGTATGAGATGATGAGGAGGAAGTAGAGGAGGAAGAATAGTTGGAGAATGAAAATCTGGGCATGGATTTCAGTCTGATAATATTGCTTCCCATGCACCATCTCATTTAAACTTCAAAACAACCCCCGATGGAGGTGGCATGATCTTTGCCTCCCAAAGGTGAGAAAGTTGAGGTGCCTAGAGAAATGGATCCAGTGAGTGCTACAGCACATGCTTGAACTAAGGGCTGAGTGATTCCAGATGCCACCACCTTACTCTTTCACCATGCTCCCCTCCATGAGGGACAATTGAACTCATGCCCAACATCCAGAGAGAGCAGAGAGCTTCTTCACTAGGGTGCTGGCCACACCCACTGTGGTGGAGAGAGAGGGAATGGTGAGCAAAGAAGTCAACACCTCCAGTCCTCTGTGCCAAAATGTGGGTGATGTCAGAAACTCTCTTTGTTTGTCATAGACTCAGTGTTCTCATCTGTCAAGTGCAGGCAAAAAGCACCTATCTCTTTCCCGGTGATGTGAGCTAGACGGGCGTCTATTCCTCACCCATGGAAACCTCAGCAAATGGTGAGATTGTGGGTTTTTTTAATTTACAACTTATTTATTTATTTTTTTTGTTATAATCTATTTTTAATTTTATATATTTTTATATCATTTTTCACTTTTGCACAATGCATGCATTTTCATCTTGGTTATAGTCCCCATATAATTCCCACCCCGCTTGTTTTGATCCTACTCCCACCCCCTCCCACAGTGTGTCTGGTTTATAGCTGCCTGTTGATTTTGATTGTTATTTTATTATAATTAGTCATTCTCCTGGTCCCTTATTTAGGTTTTCTAAATTCCTGCTATGAGTGAGACCCAAAGAACACAGAAACATTAATTCAAAAGGGCACCTGCACCCCTATGTTTATAGCAGCACTGTTTACAATAGCTAAGCTACAGAAACAACACAAATGCCCAAAAATAGATGACTGGATCAAGAAGATGTGGTACATATACACCATGGAATACTACTCAGCATTCAAAAAAGATAAACACATGCAATTTTCAGCAACATGGATGGCGCTGGAAGGGATCATGCTCAGTGAAATAAGCCAGAAGAAAAAGAAAAATACCAGATGGTCTCACTCATAGCAGGAATTCAGAAAACCTAAATAAGGTACCAGGAAAAAGACTAATTATAATAAAGTAAAAATCAAAACCAACAAGCAACTATAAACGAGAGACTGTGGTTTTAATAAAATAATGTATGTCTTATTCAGTAGGACACAAGAAAAGAAAAATGAGAGGAAGAAGGAGAAGGAAAACAGCAAAACAAGACAGGCATTAGCAGAAACAGAGAAATGGGGGTGTACATTTAGAGGCAAGGAACAGGATCAGACACTCATAGAAGGTCAGATGTGTAAGGACCACTGATGTCCACTCTCATATTAGAGTCGGTGACTGAGGATGAGAATAAGAGAGGAGACAGACACTGGATGTGGACAGATGACCTTGACCCTGAACTCTTCAGGAGGCTACCATGCAGGAATGTCACCAGGGAAGCTCACAAATAATGATCCAGACTGTGCTCCATTTGTAAGTTCTGGAAACCTCTCTCTGTGAGGGTCTCTGAGTCCTGTGACCTAATCTTCCAGGGAACCCAGATGCAGGAGGCCACAGTCTGTTCTGAAATCAGAGTGATTGCAAAAAGACAAGGCCATGCCTTCCCACAGAAATTCCTCCAGACACTAGCATGGCTGTTTTCACCTCAGAATTGCAAATGGGAAGCCACCTGCTTCTCTACCACAAAAATATTGGGTGACCTTGCTCTAGAAACTCAATTTCTGGACTGTAGGCATCTTTTGGATGTAAAGAGGGGACTGAGCTAAATAACCTCCCAGTTCCTTTCCTGGTCTGGCATTCAAGGATTCTGGGATTCAAAGTGCATCTTACCTTATGGAGAAATTCATCATCTCCACTAATACCCAGGCCTGAAGCAATGGGCAGGCAAGTTTTCAGCTCATCAACTTCAAAAATTGCTATGACCTTTGTGGGCCTCTCCCCCTCTGGGCGCATGAAAATAACAGGCCTCAGAGATTTAGTATCAAAACAAAGGAAAATGTACAAAATCTCTCTCCCATGTCCCCCCCATGCTGATTCCCCTCCGTATCTTCTCTCTCTGCCCTTTTCCAATATTGCTTTTTTGCAGCAAATTATTCTGCCAGTCTACAGCCTCTCCAGTCCTCCTTTCGTGCGTGTGAGGTGGGGAGTAACAACAGTCTCTTGAGTCTGCTGAGGTCTTTACTGCCTGCAAAATACTTTCCTCTCTATTACTGCATTTGTCCTCCCAGGAAGCTGTGATGCAGGCAGGGCAGAAAATTATCACCCACCAATTACTGACAAAGAAATTGAGGCCCAGAAGGGGTCATGCAGGAAGAGAATGGTGGGTGCATGACCCCGTTTGGCAGCTAGGAGAGGCAAGGCTCCCCTACAGGCAATGAGGGGGGTTGCGAGCAGACCCTGGGGTGGGGGCTGGCTCATGAGACACAGGCCATGGATCGCTTCTCTTCATGCTGGAGTCCGATCAACTGAACAAATGCCAACTCGTCAGACAGACCAAGGCTACCTTTTCAACGAGTGTCTCTCCTCGACTCTGCTGAGCTATTGAGGGCCTGGGCACAGCTCGTTTTTCTCTGTCTTTATCACCCACAAAAACCTAGCACAGGTAGGTTGCCTGTAAATGTTCAGCTCAACTGAACTGAGTGAGGAGAAAGAGAGAGAGGCAGTGGGGGGAGCATGGCAGGCGGGGAGTGGGCTGGGGCCGGCAGGGCAGGATTTCTGTCTTACATAGGAGAAGTCCTCAGCATTCTGGCAGAGGAGCTTGGGGAACACAGCCTGCCGCTGGAACCGTTCCTCATCCTCAAAGATGTTGCCGTACATGAAGCCATTCATCATGGTGGAGTGGGCGTGGATGTCAATATAAAACTCCAGGCTTGTTTTCTGTTGAGAGAAAGGAAAACAAATGATAAGTCTGGGCCACAGGACTTGCCTTAAAGGGACCAGACACTAAACGTGCATGTGCAAGTGCACACATGTGCACACATGTTTCCTTTCAAGCCAGCCCAAGGTGTCAGCAGATTTAGCAGCATTTGTAAGTGAAGCCAGCAAAGACCAATTTTTCCTCACTTTTTTAACCATCTCAAGGTCTGAGGTTTCTATCATTAGCATCCCTCTCCAGAGGCCTTCCGAAGAAGTGAGGTTTTTGTTGGGTTAAGTTGTGATGGGCCTTACCCAGGCAGTTTATGTGAACAATGACTAGAGGCATTAGCAGAATTTGTTTCTCTGATTAATGAGAAATACCTTCCACCTAACATGATTATATTTGCACCGGACCTGCTTATGATTTTGTTCTGACTGGGTTATTTCTAGCTTAGGAGGCTCTGGGGTGAATCATGGTCCCTCTTTGAGCCTCAGCTTTCTTATTTAAAAATGGGATATTTTTAGTCCAGCCTCAGCGAGTTCCAGTAGATATCAAACACAGCGATCCGAATTGCTATCACTTACTGCATGTTTAATGCATGCCAGGTCAGGGAGTGTTACATATGAGATCTTAGTTAATCCTTTTATTTAACTTAATTTCACGATGTCACAGCTACTCCCCAGTAGTATTATATAAGTAGTACATGGGGGGGAAAAAACAAACTTGTAATCTGTAAGAATAATAGTGACTAGTCTTTCTCTACTCTCTGCCTACACAGGCTTAAGACACTTCCTTGCTTGGTATTATTTATTAGCCTTCCCTGTGAGCCCATGAAGGTAGGAGAATTATCAGAAAAGTCCTCTGAGCCTGTCTGAGAATAATGTTCAGTAGCTGTATGCAGAATGCACACGTAAGCCCAGAGAGATCACTCCAAACACCATAACGGACCAGTAGAAACTGGGGAACTTCTAGGTCCCAAGATCTTCAATGTACTTAAAATTTGATCCCTTTCATATTTGTTTATCCTTTCAGGCCCCAGATGGGGAAGAGACTTTCCCAAACTCATGCCATAATGGAGACTAGAACAGGCTTCCTGGCCCTGGCCCAGTTAACTTATGGTCATCAATGGCCAACACCAGAAACAGTTAAGGCCAAACCTGGCCACCTTCCTGTCCTCTGGTTCAGTCCTGAGAAAGAAGATAAGTCCATGTTTTGAAGTCTTCTCCCTTCTTGGGACACTTTCAAACGAAGTTAAAACCAAATGAAAACCATGTTGCTTCTGGAATGTGGGCCTGATGACTGTCATTTCATTTGCCTCAGAGTTGGAGTGAAAAATTATGCCTTGCCGAGCTCCCAGCTCTCTGGGTAGCATAAGCTGTCTTTTGAGAGATACAAGATGCACTGCGCTGTGTGATATTAAACTCATCATTTTCAGCTTTGGAGGTGGAATACACAATGATTCAACAGGAGCCCTATAAAAGTCATCTTTGCAATTTTATTTTCTTCAATTGTCTGTCTTTTCCTCTGAGCTTTTGATGAGCTGCAGAGGAAAGGAGGAGGTAAAGAGATGACTCGAGAAATGTGTAAGGAAAAACTACAATTTATAACAAACAACTATGAACCGGAGACACTCTATGGGGGATGGGGGGGTGGGGAAAGGAGGGCTTGGGGTCAAAATAAGGGGGTTGTAATTGTATGGAGAATATAAAAATAAAATTAAAAAAAAAAAACAACTACAATTTATATTTCTGGCTGTTGGCGCTAGAGAGGGCCTCAGAAACAAGCTTTTTTTTTTTTTTTAATTAATTAATTTTATTTTTATATTCCCCTTACAATTGCAATCCCCCAAAAGAAACAAGCTTTTTTAACCAGTCCCAGACCAGCCCTGAGTTGGGACTGTTGCCTACTAAGGCCGGTCAGCTGGTTAGTGAGGGGATAAGAATTAGAAGCTGCTCTTCTGTTTACCATTCTGGAGTGACGCGCACTGTCCCCTTCTGACACCTGGCATCTGATGTGCTTTTGCTTGAAATAACCAGCAGGTGGATTATATTGATTGGTTTACATGGTTCAAGTCACAAAGATATGAAAGAATTTAGTGAACTCTCTTTTCCTCCCTTCCAAACATCCCTCCTGCCACCCAGTTTCACTCACCAAAAGCAACAAATAGCATTGGGGTCTCATGTCTCCTTCCAGAGATAGTTTATGCTCAAACTAACAAACATTACTTCCCCTTCCCCCACATTACACACAAATGGTAGCATGCAAAACATGCTATTCAGATCTGTTTGTTTTTTTTTTTTAACATATCTTGGAGGTAACTATTTGTCAGTACACAGAGACTTACCACATAGAAACTATTTAACCTAGTTGCCTATTGAGGACATTTAAGCCATTTCCAATCTTTTCCTGGTACATTCAATGTATTAGTGATTGACTCTCTACATACACCATTTCACACATATACAATTATAAGTAGGAAAATTCTTAGAAGTAGAATTTCTGTGTCCTCTGTGATTTGCAATTCTGATCAATATTGACAGATTGACCTCCTTAGAAGGACCAATTTACACTCCTGGCAATGTTGTAAAGCTTCTCTTTCTTGGTTGCCTTGACAACGTGGGTGGAATCAAACTTTTTGATATTTGCCAATTTGATGGGTGAAAAATGATATCTAAGATTAGTTTTAATCTGAATTTCTTAGTATAATTATCTTTTATTATATGGTTAAGCATCTTTTCATATGTTTAAGAACTATTTGCATTTTCTTTTCTATGAATCATCTGTTCATTTCCCTTGCCCATTTTAAAAATTGGGTTGTTGAACTTTTTTAATTTTTGACTTACAGAAACTATATTAGAGACTTTAGCCTTTATGTGTAGCATAAAAACTTTATGTCTCAGTTTGTCATTGTCTTTGCTGTAGTTTTGTTTCTTTAATTTTCTATTGAAGTCATAGTGGTTCATAACATTATGTAGGTTTCAGGTATACTGCATTTTAAATTGATGCATATACACACACACACATATGTGTGTGTATATATATATATATGACATGTTTGCCACCAAAAGTTTAGTTACCATCCTTCATCATAAAATTGACCCCTCTAACTCAATGTATCTAGCCACTTCCCTTTCTTTCTGGTGATCACTATTTTGTTCTTATGGCCTAAGGGTTTGTTTTTGTTTATTCATTTTTGCTTTTGTATATCTTACATTTGGAGTCAAATCCACAAAACTATCACTAAAGCTAACGTGCAATTGTATTGACTAGACCTCCAAAGCAAAGATAAAGGATTAGCTACTCTCTAAGGTTACTTCCCATTCAGAGATTCTAAGGACTGGATTTAGAGCACAAAAAAGTTCTCACAGGGATCTCCCTGGTGGCACAAGGGGTTAAGTTTCAGCACAATGAAGCTATTGGCAGCCATTGCAGCACAAGTTCAATCCCCAGCCAGGGAGCTAACCCAGATGGCACAATAGACCTCTCATGTCTCTCACACTGCTCCCCTCAGCAGTGTATTTCAGTAAATCTTCCTGTTCTGCTCCCCATTCTGTCTCTGGTGAATCCTTTCACTCCCCTGCACCTCTGGCTTACACCCCAGCTCTTGTATGTATAAATTAAAAAAAATAAATCTTTTAAAGAAAAAAAGTTCTCAGAAGTTTACATGTTTTGGGGCTGAGTTTGAGGTCTTAAGACTTTTCATCCTTCATCACACATATTCAGCACTTTACTGGAAATGCTAAAGACCGCAAATACCAATTCCAACAATATCTTCACTGTGCTTTGTGCCTACATAACTTTATGAATCAGCATTGGTCCAGTAGAATGGAGCACTAAAAGTAGAAGCAGGGTTTCTACCTGTACTTTAAATTTTAAAATAACCTGTGACCATGGACAAGTAGCAACATTTCAGTGTGCCACAGTTTCTGCGTCTTTAAAAAATGATCATTGGGTGTGGTAGAGGATTTTGGCTTTCTTAAACTTTTCATGATTTCTTCTCATCTTCAGTTAAAATAAATCCCTCATTTTTCTCCAAATAATTACTTGCTTGGGCTTTGATATCAGTAGTTGTTACCATTTACCTAATCCAGCTGATATAGAAATGTCTGTCTATAAGTTCCTGGAGGACATGTACCACATCTGATCCAAGTGCCACTACCTTTTACTTGTTCTACTATAATAGCTGCTTACCTGGTGTCCTTGCTTCTTCAGAATAATATTTTAAAATGCAAACAACTCATGTCACTTCCCTAATTAAAACTGTTCTTGCAGTTCCCTATTGCTCACAGGATAAAGTCCAAGCCACTTAATTTATTTTAAAAGGGACCCTGCATGACTGCGCCCCTGCCCCTGTCTAGTTTCATCTCTTGCCACTTCTGGTCTCATATTTTACACTTCAGGCACAGGAGCTACCTGGAGTTCTTCAAACCATTTGGATTGTGACTATTCTCTATACTTATAACAAATATTTCTTCTGTCTGGAATATATTTTCTTTTTATCTGGCTAAGTCAGATTGAAATTTAAATTTTAAGAGAAATTGAATAAGAGCCTACCAAACCCATTTTCTTTTCCAGGAACACAGAAGACATTTCCCAGTCCCCTTTGCCACTTTATTGGATGGTGAGAGTGGTGACAACTGCCACTTTCAGGCTTGAACATAAAACTCACACACCAGCAGTCACATTCTCTCTTGCTCTGTGCATGGAAGCTACATATAAAAGCAAAGGTACTGGAAGAAGGAAGATCCTATGTTCCTGGATTATCAGTGGGAGAAAAATGGGCAGGCAAGTCCCATGACATTTACTTAACCTTTATTGCACTAAGTCACTGAGATTTGGGGATTGTTTGTTACAGCAACTAGCACTAGTCAACTGACTATTCAATGGACCACTGTTCAATCTCAATTCAGAAAGCCTTATTTATCCCTTGGACTGAAGCAACAGTCTCCTTTGCACTCTCATAACTCAGGCTACATTTCTCCTGAGGCACTTAGCACATGGCATAGTGATTCTGTGTTTA